TGACATTCATGTTAATAGGAAGGTTAATGTATCCTGCAATATGTACCTTGGCCCCAACAGACGTTTTCAGTTAGGTTGTATCTTTATGTAACAGTTACAACTGCTTAAGCAAAAAAAAATCATGCAGAGATTCACACTTGATATATAATAACTTCAAAATAAAAAAAAAGTCCTTGTCCTGAGTTTAGCTTTAACAGTTATTTTCTCCTTCCTATTAGCTGGTGCACTGCTGTGTTTCAGATTTAATCTGAGAACAACGCCAATAACACACCAATATTTTAGCTGTTGCTAAGTAATGATTACTCTGCTCAAGGACTTTTAGTTTCATGCTCTGCCAGTGAGGAGGGGCACAAGAAGCCGGAAGAAAGCAGAGACAAGGACACCTGACCCAAACTAGCCAAAGAGGTATTCCATACCACAGCACGTCATGCCCAGTATATAAACTGGAGGGAGTCACCCGGAAGGCACAGATCTCTGCTCAGTCGAGCTCGGTATCGGTCGATGGGTGGTGAGCAATTGTACTTATGTTTATTGTTTTTTCTCCCCTACCCTTTTTAGTTTTATACTCTCTCCCCTTGTTATTTCCCTTGTCATTATTATCAGTAGTAGTAGTCTTGTATTCTACTTATTGGACTGTTCTTAACCAGTTGGGTTTACATTCTACCAATTCTCCTCCCCTTCCTGCCCAGAGGTGGGGTGGAAGAGGAGGGAGTGAGCAATCAGCTGTGTGGTGCTGAGTTACTGGCTGGTCTTAAACCATGATGGTCCTGAAGAATTTAAATTGCTGCAAAATACACTAACCTGTCCAAGGATCCTGACAATAACCTTTGTCCAGAGCTGTTCAGGCATAAACAGGTTACAGTTTTATGGTGATTTTTAAGTGATACTAGTAATTGTCCACCTTTTAGCACATCCCAAACTTTGACATATCGACCTCCTGTGAGAAGGAAACACACAAAACAGTTTGACATACATACATATTTCCACCTCTCTGTAGAAGTTTTCACACAGTTATAGTGCTTCCTCTGTAACACCTTGTTTTCTGTACCTACTCACCACCCCCACCCATTATGACTATCTCCTGGGGACAAGACACATTATAAGCATGCTCTTTTTCAGGCCATTCTGCAGCCGAATTATTCAACATACTTCTTACCAAAAGTACCTGAAGTTCCTTTGCTTTAGCACTGGGTTTATTAAAGTCTGTATCTTGCCATTAAAAACATCAGGTTTTTTTGTGGATTTTTTTGTATCAACTACAAGAATATCTAATCAGAGACAAAAAGACCCCTACTTTCACCCTCCAGATCAATGGATTCCTAAAGATCTTTGAGAAATCCAGCTGTTACGTCACCACTAAATGAAAATACTAGAAGGAAGCAGATCAAGTACATTAGGGCCACAGAAAAGAAACCTGATTTTGCTGAAGTACCTGCAGATACTAGGAGCCCACCAGAAGGGAACAGAAGCACACTCTCCACAGGCTGACCATGTTCTATTGTTATGATACTGCTTTTTGTTCGGGCATCAAACAGCTTCACAGTGTGATCATAGGAACCTGCAAACACCACCATTATTAGCTTCAGTTTCATCATTTCAGTTACTTCATGAACTAAAATAACCATGTGCTACAATCTAAAGGAGCTCCTGCCAAACAGAAACAGTTTTAAACTGTGCACTTAGAACACCTTTTGGTTTATCTTGGTTAATTTACAGCCTTCAGGCAACATACGTCTTCTAATTCTACCCCCACCAATACGTCAGGCCTTAAAAGTAATTTAAGTCTTAATTTTATTTCCCTTCTGTTAATCAAGCGTATTTGCAACAATAAATTTAGGCAACCTGATGAAACTTAGTCCCGTGTGCCTCCTGAAGTAAGGAATACCACTTTTTTTCTAGGAATTTACCAGACATTAACAGAAAGCTACTGCTAGCAAGTGGTTTCAAATAACTCATGTGACCTTTCATTTTTGAGTCTGTGAGTTTTGGTCTGTACAAACTACAATGGAACTAGTGTCCTCCTCTGGAAACCTTCAGTCAACTACAACTAAAGTATATATTCACAGAATTTTCTAAAAACTTTCAAAGGCCAGTCAGAACCGCTCTGTTAACCCTAACAGGCTAAAGGAAAGATATGTTAAAAATTAGGGAAATTCTGAGTTTCTCTACGAACACCAGTGTCAAGCTAAAAAAGCAAGCAAAAAGGTAACAGCAAAGGAGGCACCAAGCAGGAAGCCAGATCCTTCATGTTTAAAATATAGTAAGCGAGATCCTACTGTATCAAAAACTATTCCTGCACTTTTCTTCAATTCAGTATAAAAGCAGCACATTGAAAAAATAAAATCAAACCTGTTACAAAGACGTCTGCATTCACTTTACTTGCACAGCCGCATCTCACGTAGTCAGTATGTTCCCTGTATGAGACTATTTCTGTACCACTTGGAATATCCCACAGCTTTGATGAATAGTCATCACCACCAGAGAATATTCGGTATTTATCAGACAGGAAACCCACTACATGAACAGGTCTAGAAACAAAAGTCCACAATATCCAGTTAAAATATATACTTGTTTCCAGAAGAGTCAGTCTGTCTGAAGAGATTACTTATTATGTATTCTAACTTAATCATGCAAAGTCCTCACTGCTGGAAGTTATAAAGCCTCACTTTAGAGGTTAGTTACACTTAGTTTTTATATTTCCAGCCAGAAAAGAGTCATGCTGACCGATGCTTACTTAAGCATTTATATGATTGCCCTTAAAAGTTGTATAGGTCTACTAGATGTCCATTCAAAAGCTGTTCTGAATTTGTTACTTAAGCTGTCTGTGTACTATCACTGACTTTTATTAAAAAGAAAAAAAAATGTGCTCATCAGTGCCATGGAGTCACAAGACTGTGTCTACACAACATATTAACAGGCACCTACCTTAATTAGAAAACAAATTTATTCTTCCAGGTACTCAATTCATATTTGGAATTCAAAAGCTACTCCAATTTTTAATTCAATTTAAAAATCTACTTTTCAGTAATATCTACAAGAAACAGTAACAAGCAACACAGACCAGTATTATTCAGATTTACAGCAAAATACAAAAGAAGCATATGCAAACGCAGCAAACAAGCTTATGCACATATAGGAAAACCCAACATTGTCTTACTTGGTATGACCGTCAAATTGTCTCAGCGGTGCTTTTCCACTGATGTCAAAGAGGCGAATGATACCTTCATCGCTGCCAGCAACAAGCAGATTGCCATCATCTCTGTATGTGCCACAATAAGCAGCATCTTTGAAGCGAGAAAACGTTTTGATAGGTTCATGCGAGTAACGACCATAAATGTGGATCTGGTAAAAGAAGAAGACATTAAGTTTGCTCATATGATACCAACTGAAAGACAAGAACGTGAAAACCTCAGAGAAGCCACTTACCCTTGAGGAAGCTGTGACAGCATAGTTACGTGGAGGAACCGGTGAGAAGTCAATTTTATTTACTGCACCAAACTCCTTTATCTGAATAGGTGCCTAAAGCAATTACAATGAAGATTATTAAATACATACAAGCACACCATCAAAAATCAAAACAGCAAAGCAAAACTTCTTCCTACAGAGAGCTCCAAACTCCACTCAGACCCAAATCAATTTAAATACAACCCTATGGAGTTTCTGTCAGGTTACTTCTGCTCACGTGTTTTTTTTCAATTCGCGCATTACAACTAACCCATTAATTAAGTATTCCGAGGGGAAAAAAATAAACTTATTCACTCACACAAGATTAAAACTACTTTATCAATAGCACGAAAGCAATAGAAAAATATACTTTAGGGCAAAAAAATACACCTGCTGGGCCAATTTTGGGCAAAGGTCAGGCTCGCTGCATAAGAAGCCGTTTAGTAGCTTTAACACGGTATTAGGGAACCACTTCTAACCAAGAGCCGAGCAAGGCCGGGCACAGACCCAGCGCCACCCGCAGCGGAACACGACCAGCCCGCTGCCCCAGCGCCGTCGAGGGCTGCCTCCTACCTTGTACCCCTCCCAGTACACCGTGTCCTGCGTGATCCTCTCCCCGAGCCTGGGGCAGGTCTGAATCACCACCGGTTTGTACAAGGCCATGGCTCTCCGGGAGGGGGGAGTCCGCGCCTCCACAGGGAGCTAGGCCCACGCTAACCCCTTCGCGCTGCCCTGATGGCGCAGCCCACGCCTGTCACCAAGCGAGCCGTGTGCGTACTACGTCATCAAAAGGCGACTCTCACCTAGCCAATCGCCACCGCGGCGGGGCTGTAGGACGTCACGTCCGCCTCACTGTCAGCGATAGATGTGGTGGTGCTGCCGAGGTGAGGGGATGCCGTAGGACCCGTCCCGTCCCGTCCCGTCCCGTCCCGTCCCGTCCCGCCCTGCCCTGCCGGCGGGTCGCGGGCAGTGAGTTCTTCGGAGTGCCCGTGGCGGCGGCCTGCGTTAAGGGGAGAGGGCGGGCTGAAAGAGGGCATGGCGCTGCCAGGCCGCGGAGCCCCGCGTGTCGTTAGGCTGCCCGGCTGCGGTCAGGGTGAACTGAGGTGTTCTGTGTCACCGACATAGATGGAGTTATTTTCCTACGCATAGGGTAGAAGCCATTTGTTTTACTCAGGTTATGGAAGGGCTTAAGAGTCATAAAATGACATGAAGTCACTGTAAATTTTCCTTCCAAGTCTAATGTTTTTAGGAAATAGTCATGTTCTCCTGTCTTGGTATAAACGTGGTTGGTTGTGCTGGGTTTTTTTTTGTTGTTGTTGTTGCAGCCGTACTAATACTATGAAACATTACTTAGATGGAGCTCCTAGTGGCTTCATTATGGAATTTGGCTTAAATATCCACGTGATCAAATTTGAATGGATGGTTTGGTCCCCTCCATTTAAACCCATACCCACAACCCATACTGCTTGTAACAGCAGCAGGATTGGTGTTTCACTACCACCAAGTTACATCAGCTTAAGTGAAGCCAAGCTTGGTGTATTTTTGTGCATTGCTTCACCAAAGCATTGTTAACCTGTTAAATGTTTTCAGTTTCAGGTTATTTAAACATCCGGATCTCTAGGTACAGCTTCATTGGCTGGAACTGCTAGTAGCTAGAAACCATGAAGAAACTTTTTGCATAAAACTTTCACATGTCTGGGCCCATGGCATCTTCAACAAACTTAGACGTTGCAGCCCAGTCAATTGTGGAAGAATGTACTGCTAGCTACAGCCTTCCACCCATGCCGGACATCAAAGTGGAGCATCAGCTTGACTCTAGCACAGAGGAGGGCCCAGCTCAGAGTGTTACCATGGGGATGAAATTCATTTTGCCCAATAGATTTGATATGAATGTCTGCTCGCGATTTGTGAAATCTTTGAATGAAGAGGACAGTAAAAATATTCAAGATCAAGTAAACTCTGACCTTGAAGTGGCATCTGTCTTATTTAAAGGTTGAACTTTATGGTACAAATTGTTGTGTGTGGACTGTGTCATCCTGTTAAATTGCTATTTAAAAAAAAAAAAGCGTCTGCCTTATACATGTGTTAATAATAGTTGTCTAGAATTTCTTACCCATCTATTATATACTTAATGAATTATTATTGTAAAATTAATCTCCATATTACTTTTAAAACATTTTAGTTGTTTTTTTTAAATTGAAAAAGTAGTGGCACAAAAAGTCTCTGATTTAATTTAATAAGAGCTGATGCTGATCACAAAAACAAATTTACTTCTTTTGTGTACCATGTTCTGCCACATGCTACATGTTGTTGAGTGCATGTATCTGCAAAACACTACTGAAAGCACGATATGATAATTTCAACTTCAGTAGCTTCCTGCAGCATGTTTTATCCTTTCAGTGGTACCGATGGCAAAATAGCATAGCTCATACCATTGATTTTGTTTTATCAATATGGATGTACAAAACTTGTAGTTGTTGCAGTGATTGGCTTGCCAGTGCAGCTTCACACTACTTGAAAATGAGTGTTACTCCAGTTCTGGATTGCTGCAGGTGGATCTCCAGCCATTGCTGGTCAGCTTCATCAGAACTGATCTGTGTTTTTTTGTGGCTGAACGTGTTGATAGAGAACAGAATTAGGACTTCTGTATATTTCTCCTTAACAGTTGTGATTTCCAGTGCTTGCTGTCATATTTCAGACTCTTAGTGATGTGTCTTTTCATGAGGTTGAATTTGACCTATTTTCTACAACACATACAAACACGGGCCTATTGTCAATTTTGATGGTTTCTCTTACTTGTATTGTTGGCTGCAGTTCATTGTAGCCATTGTAATTTTCAAACTTTTTTGATTTGCAGGCCCTAAGTGCTTACTAGTGGAGCTGCAGACCTGAACGGCAGATTTAGACCCATCAGCAGTAGGGTGTTTTTTCTTAGGTAATATTTGTGAACCCTTTAGAAGTAGTCCTGCAGATCCAGGTACCACAGGTCAAAAATCCCTGGTAGGTCTCTTTAGTTTGATCAAGTCAGCTGTAGCAATTTGATTAGCAAACAAGATTTGCATCCAGTTACCCTCTAATTGTAATTGATTGTCTCCCTGAATTTGCACTTGCATTTATGATCATGAGTTTCTCTATGGTATGAGTTCAGTGTGCCTGTTAATTACTTTCCAGTTAATAATTACTGTTGCACACTGATGTCAAGTCAATTTAGCCAGTAGTGGAGTTTAATCTTTCAATATGTATTTCCAGTATTTAATCAGTTAGCTTCTTAAAAACTAGTTGGCTCCTCAGCTACTTCTCAAAGCTAATAGTTAGTTTTGAGAAGCAGAAACCAAGATAATGTATGTATTCTGTAATAAAATGCCATTCGATTCTAACAGAAAGCTGGGAAAGTTAGTACAGATTAATATAGCAGCACTGCATAACTTCCCACGTTCTAAGTGGTGACTGGCTGTTGCATTTTATGGAAGTAACTATGGAATATCTCTCTCCCTGCTGGATAAGTATTAATAAAGCATTCATAATGCAGTTACAGATTTCCAACAGAAGTGTAAAAAGTCCTGGTGAAGAAAATTAGTGATGGTAGTCTTGGGGAGTAGGCAAAGGGATGATCTGAGCAGTTACTGACTGCATGGCTGACTGAAGCTGCATCATGTTGTTGCACTGGAGAACATTAATAAGGATGTGGTAGGCTATGTGGGGCTCTCGTACCTGATAAATCCATGCCAGGCACTGTTGAAAATCTAGATGAAGGCTTAACCTCATTTAGACACCCAATTTGTGTGACATTATGCTGTACTGAATACTGAACGTGTGGGTAGCAGCATTGTTTTATGCTAGAAATGCAAACAGCTGTTTGACAATACACAGTGGAAAAGCACATGTCACAAAGCTTACTTAACATGGGGTTTAAAGATCTTGTGACACTGGTGCCTTCTAGTTTGGCTTAAAATCTGTGGCTTGCTTTTAATGCTCTTACTAGTATTGAAATCCTGTCTGTTTTCTGTGTTCAATGTAGCTGAATGCAACAGCCACACTTCTCCTTCCCCTGGTATCCAAGTAAGACATGTTTATACTCCATCAACTACTAAGCATTTCTCACCAATAAAACAATCAACTACCCTAACTAACAAACACAGGGGAAATGAAGTCTCTACAACACCTCTGCTTGTAAACTGTAAGTATCATGACTTACTGTTAATTATTTTATGAGCTGTGTGTTAGATGGCTGACAGATTTTTCTATTTTTTTCCTTTGTTGTTTTAATAAACTTCTGTATAAGGAGAAAACATTGAGATAGTCTTGTCTAATTTCATGTGGTTCCAGCTGTGAAATAGTAATCCACCTGCTGTTTTGAATTCACGTCGGAAGTGTATTTTCCAGAAAGGATCCAATTCTTGATTAAAAAAAAAAAAATAGGTAAAGATTTTTCCGATCCTTTCTGAGCTTTAAGTTAGTGTGCTTCTTGTACTTGTTTTCAGAACCTGCACATCTTGTAAAATTTATTAAAATTAGATGATTGGTAAATGCTACAAACTCATGTTGCAAATGTCATGATTGCCACATATCTTGAAAAGCAGTACAATTTATGGGGTTTTGTTAATTGGTATTTTCTTTATAAATTAATTCTGTGTAATTCATTTATAAATTATTTCATCTATATATTATAAAATCAGTGTTAGAAAAAAAGGCTGCTTGCATTGGAAAAATTAATCTGGAGCTGCAGCATAGGCCGTGAACAAAATAGACAGTTTTTCTGAAGAAAATAAAACTTTAATGTTTCATATAGTGAATAGGAGAAGGACAGTGAACGGTATGTATTATGTACTTGTTAGCCAATTTTATTGTTCTATAATGTGGATAACTTCTTATATATTCCCTCCTGACCACCTTTCCAACCTCTTGGTATGGAAGACCAGCTTTGATAAGTTTAAAACAAGCCCAAAATCCTTTTTTTCCCCTGTAGATGTAGATGCAGATGTCTTGTCTTGTAATCATTTTGTAATGCCTGATGTATTCCACACTGTAGTGAGTGAAAGTCATGCCACAGGCTCACTGAGCAGTGTGACAGGTCTCCTGACATGTGATCTCTTAGATGTCATTTTGAAACTACACAACCTCAATTTACCAAAAGATGCTTATTTTCATTTCATAAATGTTCTTAATATGATCTTCGATTGCTGGCCAAGCATCAGGGAGCATGTTGCCTTGTAAAGAGTCAGTATGGGAAGTATTTTCTGCTTTTTAGTACAATTTCTACCTTGGTTAAAAAATTACCTAAACCTGTGGAACATTTTGAAAACTTCTTAAGGTACTGATTCTAGTTCAGAGTATAACATGAAACCTATCTACATTCTCAAATCTATGTTCTCTACTGGTTAAGCCAAATTCCAAATAGAGCAGAATGAAAATTGGTATGTGTGACAAATGATTTTGTTTTCTTTTTTTCAGCTTTATCAGTTCATCAGCTGGCTGCTCAGGGAGAAATGTTGTATCTGGCCACACGTATTGAACAAGGTGAGACAGAAGGAGAGTAAATCTCTCCCTTTTTTCTTTGGGGCATTTATACCCTGTTGTGCTTAACTTTTCCCTAAAAAAACATTAAAAAAAAACATTCCTCAATTCTGAAACAAATTGAAGGAAATTTCACGTATCTGTTCTTTGCAGATGTGGACTTTTGTTTCTCATCTGTCTTTTATTCACTGTTTCCTATGATTTGGGTTTTAAATGAAACATTAGCATTAATAGGAGTTGTAGGTAAATCCCTTCCTCTACCTGCTCCCCAGCTATATATGTAATCCATATAAATGAGAGGGGAGAATCTGTTCTATCAGAAGAGTTGTTACTTTTTAATCGTTATTATCTTTGTAATTTAAAACAATGACTTTCCAATTTTATTTAATCAATCAGTGTATAGAGCTGTATGTTGGTAATTTAAACCACGGCTCACACCCACAGTATAATAGTGCTGCTCAGTCTGAGTTAAGTAATAGTTTTCAGTGTGAAATTTGTGTGTCCGTAATGGATAGCATATTGAGTTGAGTAATATACTGTTAATAGTATAAGGGAATATATTGTTAATAGTATATTATTATACTAGTTGTAATCAGCCATACTTTCAGTGCATCTTTCTTGAAATGTTTGCTGGAAAGCAAGTAATGAGTCTCTGAGTCGATAATACTTTGTAATGTGTATAGCAAACAAATTGATTCTGGAGTATCAGTAAAAAATGCATACTCTAGTGCTATGATAAGCATTGGATTTTTTAAGTACTTAAATAGTTTTCACAAATTCCAGCTCAACTGTTTCAGCCAGCCAAATGTTAAAATTTTTTTTTCCTTCTTTCAGCTGCACTAGAAGTAGACCTTAATTGTTTCAACAAAACACCCTATTGATTACATGAACTCTGGGGGGGAATGGAGATATACTATTTATATTGCTTTACAAGATAATTCTTTACAAAATTTTGTGGCTCACTCTGTTGAAAAAAACAAAACAAACACCACTTTCTGCAGTGTAATAACAGACTGTCCCTCTTCGTTTTTCCAAAGATAAAGCCCAGATTACTGACAACTTGTAACATTTCTGAGTAGAAATAGAGCTTGATTTATAGATCTTAAACAATGAATTAACCCAATTCTTAAATTTTACTTTGCTCAGTTGAATGTTTTTTCTTTCTTGGACAAAGATATTTGCACCACCATTGCAATATAATTTTGTTTTTAAAGTTAAGGTAAGAATGACTTTTAGGCCACACTGATACCTCAGTCCATTCACCATGAATACATCAATGCATTTCACGAGCTTCTACTGTGCATCAGTGAAAGGGATTACTAAATTATTTATTTATCTTTACACAGAAAATGTAATCAATCATAAGGATGAAGAAGGATTTACCCCTCTGATGTGGGCTGCAGCTCATGGGCAGATAGCAATAGTGGAATTTCTCCTCCAAAATGTAAGGAAATAAACACACCTCATTTTAAATTCATTTACTTTTTAGTTCAGTTTGCCTTCTGATTTATTTTTCAATGCTACTATACACTTAAAAAGTTTTAGTTAAGTTCTGTGTAAAACCTCACATTTAAAAAAGGTGTGGTTAATTTGATCTGTTGTTGTTGTTGTTGTTACTATAATTTCAGGGTGCCGATCCTCAGATTTTGGGGAAAGGACGAGAAAGTGCCCTCTCACTGGCTTGCAGTAAAGGATACACAGATATTGTCAAAATGCTGCTCGACTGTGGAGTTGATGTCAATGAGTATGACTGGGTAAGACTCTAGCTCTACTTTATGTCAGGGGGTGCTTTGGTTAGAAATTTGGACCAGGGCATAGCACTGTTTTGGATTTTAAAATTATTCTACCTCTTCTAAAATACCTAAAAGTTTCAAAACTTCTATAGGGTAAGAGAAGTTGGCCTTACTAGTTCTGACTTGTTGGCAAAAAGAGAATGAGACTGAGTCCTTCTAGAAGGGTGAGCTTGCAGTCTAAACAGTAGACAAAAAAAAAATAATAAATTGAAGTTCCAAAACAGAACCTGATTTTTATAAAACCTATTAAATTTCTTACTGATACATAGAATTATACTGGTGTGTTAATGAATTACAGTTGCAGACTGCTCAGCCATTAAGTTTATAAGGCTTTTCTTTGCATTCGCAGAATGGAGGCACACCTCTACTATATGCAGTACATGGGAACCATGTGAAATGTGTAAAAATTCTCCTTGGTAAGCAGACTGTCCCAGCTTTATTATCAATAATAATACTGAGTATTGCCAGTTCTCATTGTCAGAGGTATGAGTTTCTTTTCCTGTTTTACATAGAAAGTGGTGCTGATCCAACTATCGAAACAGATGCTGGCTATAATTCCATGGATTTGGCTGTAGCCTTGGGCTATCGGAGTGGTGAGTATTGCAAATGTAAATTCTTTGATTTTGATTTTTACTGCTCTTTGTTTATGTAGCTGCTGCAATGATCCAATAGAAGTTTTGCAGCTGTTAGAAAATCCGTATCCTACAAGTCTTATTACCTAAATGTATTGGCCCAAAATGGGTAGGAATTTCTGTCCCTGTCTCAGAAAGCCAAGTACCTAGTAAGAAAATGTCACTGACCTGGGCCTGCATCTGTGGGCACAGATAATGGTGTGCAGGGCTGATGCAGTCCTTAGCTGCTTCCCCACCCTGTACAAAAGGGTGTGTATTGCACCAGACAACGATAAGAGACCCACAGCCCTCCTGACCCGCTCACCCTGGCACTTTGTTGATTGGCATGGTGTGATATAGCTTGCAAAACCTTCTTTCTCTGTCAGACTAGCTCCAGTTTTTCTTGGAGACAAACAGTAAAAGCCAGGATCAGTGAATTAGGCTACCTGACTTGTTTCTAGAAAAAAGAGACAAAGAAGGGATTCTTCATTGTTTTTTCCTCATGCTGCCCTCATTTTGAAAGCTGTGAAATGCCTGCCATGGAGAAACGAACTCCATCCTGAAATAAGCCCAGCACTGCATGTATAGCTTCTCCAACCAGGGCCCTGTACTTACAGAATGGCAGTAACATTAATAATGTCTAGATATAGGACTGCTTCAAGAGTTCTGTCTCAAAACATTCTACAGAAGTAGTTTTTAATAACCATTTTTGCCTACTTTCCATTTATAGGCTTAAGAATTTGTTTTCCATATACTATCAGCCTTTTCAAACTAGAGAACAGATCATCAGCTCAAAACCCTGTCATCTGTCTTACCGGGTGTATTGGTTTTGCAATATATGAGGCTTTTAATTTCTGAAGGGATGCAAACTGTCTTCCCGCAGTGAATTTATTCCTGTTCAGTTTTTATTAAACGATTGTACAGGACAAGCTGGCATCTACCAGGAAAAAATAGTACAGCCCTAAAAATGTGAAAAAACATTGAACACTGGTTAACTTAATCTTTTTCTCTGTTTTAGTTCAACAGGTTATTGAGTCTCATTTATTACAGCTACTTCAAAATATCAAGGAATAATGGTTGACTCTTTTGCTGGTGTCAGTTCTTGGCTTGGACATTTGTACTGCTTTTTAGCCCTATAATCAGTGAGAAGGGTTAGTTGTTTTTAAGTTTACCTCAGTTCAACTATTTTCTGGTTTTAGTTAAGCTTTTTAATGTTCTTCCTTGTCTTTCATTGTTGTTCATAAAATTTTGCAATGTCATCCTTTTCTTAAAAATATTTTATATAATTTTAGAAGAAAGTCAGTTGTGCATGAAAATATTTGTGAATATAAGCAGTTTTGACCATCTAAATGTTTACACTGAATGCAGTGAGTGGCACTGTGACATGTGTCCTATTTCATGTCATTGGTACATGTTCCCAGGACAAAATTTGTTTAGATAATTGAGGTGTGTCACCACAGAAGATACACATCTTTAGTATTACCAATAGTAAAATGTGCACCAGATGTGATTGTTTTCAAGATCGCCAGTTAATACTACTGTGTAAGCTTTTGGCTTTATCTGATTTTTAATTTGGTAGTAAATTGCAGGGCTTTGGTGATGGTAGTTTAATTCCTACCTGATTTCTTCCCATGTCCCTTCCTGTTGTAGTCCTGAAACAGCTAGGCTAGATCATCCTAGGTGGAAACTTCTCTGATAAAATGAAGCCAAATTACAAGTGCAGAATTCCTAGACCCTAAATACCCTCCCTGCAGTGGCTGAAAGCAGCCATCAGCTATGTAGGAAGACAAGCCAAATCCTACTGCATTCCAGCCTTCTTCAGCCAAAGTGTACTCCTTTGGATCATAGAATCATAGGATATCTCAAGATGGAAGGAACCCATAAGGATCATGGAGTCCAACTCCCTGCTCCTCACAGGACTACCTAAAACTAAACCATATGACTAAGAGCGTCACCCAGGTGGCCCTTGAACTCTGACAGACATGGTGCCATGACTGCTTCTCTGGGAAGCTTGTTCCAGCAACCAACTACCATCTGCCTGAGGAACCTTCTTCTAACGTCCAGACTGAACTTTCTCTGACACAGCTTCATTCCATTTGGTCACCAGAGGGAAATCAGCACTTCTCCCTCTGCTGCTGCCCCTTGATGCAGTTGTAGGCTGTGATGAAGTCACCCCTCAGTCTTCTCCAAGCTGAGCAAACCAAGTAACCTCAGCTGCTACCCAGAAGTCTTACCCTCAAGGCCTTTCACCATCTTAGTCAGTCTCATCTGTACACACTCTAATGGCTTGATATCATTCTTATGCTGAGGTATCCAAAACTGCACAGAGTACTCAAGGTGAGGCCACACCGATGCAGTCTGGAGTGGGACAATCAATCACCTCCCTTGACCAGCCAACTATACTGTTCTTGATGTACCCCAGGACACAGTTGGCCCTTCTGGCTGCCAGGGCACACTGTTGACTCACATTCAACTTGCCATCAATGCAAATCCACAGAACTCTCTTTGCAGGGCTGCTATCCAGCCTTTCATCCCCTCCTTCGGCAGGATGTCCCAACAGCTGTTCAAGTAGAACCGCAATTATGATTTTAAGATTAGTTGAAAAATTAGGCAATGTGCACTGATTTTCTGAGTCCCCTGCACTGAGTAATGGGACATGTGATAGTTCTGGACAAATAATAGATAAGCTTCTGGAAGACCCTTCTCAGAAGCTTTTTCCCTGACTGTACATACAGACCTCTGTAGAGAGTTTGCATGTTTTCATAAGCATTTCTCCATTGTGTCCACTAGAGGTCTAGCATCCAGGCATATCCATGCACCCCTAGCCCCTGCCTTTCTTCCTTGCTCCATGTAATGTTTCTATTTGAAAATACTCCATACACAAAGGAAATCAGTACTGTTTAAAGTATGTGCAATGTGATCCTGACCAAGGATACTGGAAGGCTGGGGCATAATCCAGCCAAGTTCTTCTGAGCCAGGGCCAGAAAAATAAAACATTAATTATGTTATTTCAAAGTGACTAGGTACGCAATAGGAGAAAACATAAGGAAAAATCCAAACCTACACGGATTAAACCTGAATTTCTGGCCAGATTTCTCTATAACTCTACTGAAACATCAGTGGTGTATAGAAGGTGTAAATTGGGCCAAAATTAATCTCTGAAAGGTTGTGCGAGAGCAAACTCAGAGATCCATTTCTTTCATGAAGCTGAAAACTGAAATGTAATGAACCTAAGGTGAAGGCAGGTGAAGCAGGAAAATGTAATTGACCCTGCTGATGCTGGTGAAATCCTTGCTGCATTTGAGTATTCTCTCTCCCAGACTTTAACACTTGTATTTTTAACGTAGAGTTTTACAACAGTTTTACTGTATCATGCATGATTAAATCAGGTGAAAGAAACCATAAATCCAGCATGCCTTGAAAGCAAGGTAGGGAAATTGTTTTGTAATTAAAATCTAGAAAAATGTGTCTTCCTACAAGTAATTTTAAAATAACATTTTAAATTTTTAATTTTAAAATAACATTTTTAATTTAATTTTAAAATACAGTAGTTACTACTGTAAAAATTGCATATTATAAATACTGAGATTTAATGGCTGATGTAAAAACAAATGTCAAATTTCCATGTTTGTTGAAAAGCAATGCAAAAATAATGCAAACCATCTTTTCTGGAAACATCATAACCTGACCTATTTCTGATTATTTTTTAAGACACTTTGTGTATGGACATGCTATACAAGTGTGCGTAAGTACCAGAATTTGCTTTTTGTGTATTATTTGTGTTACAGGAAAATACTTGTTCTAAATGATGAACCTTCTGTATCTGCTTTGTATTTTGTCTTGCACTTCAATAAGCATTGAGTTAATATATAGGAAATAAACTGACTAATTCTTAACTATTGCCTGATAATGTATCATACAGGGAGATACTGAAATAGAGGAACATTGATTAAGACAGCAAAATGTAAAATTTCTTCCATCTTTTTGCTGTAGAATTTCAAGTGATTGTCAGTCATCACCACATATCCCACAAAAGGGCACAGAGGTGAAGATGATCATCTTTCAGAAGCCATTCACTGCATTAAGAGCCCTTTCTATAGCATAACAGTATGCTAAGGCAGTGAACTTGGAATTGAAGTTTTCTGTGGCTCTTTGTGAGGGCCCCTGCAGGGAACAGCCAGCAGTATTTCATAAGCTATGATTCAGGCACCCTGAGGAAAACTTAGAGTTAGCAAACTGGGAGCAGAGGGGGGAAATCAATGCAAAGAAAAAGCTTTACTCACTGGAAAAAATCACTGTCAAAAAAGCCCAGACAACTTGATTATGCAATATTAACAGCATGCTTCACTCCACGTACTTCATGTTTCTCTGAGGCACAACAATGAATTTGTTTTTCTTGGTGTAAATACTTCTCAGTATTCAGTTTTCTCTGTTTACAGTGGTAAAAAATGTAAAGCCTCTGATTCAGCATTGGTAACTGTTCTGAAACACCAGCCTGCTGATTTTGTTTTAGTGAACCATCTCTGTAGCCTTTCATAGCAGGGAGATGACACTAGGAGTTACCTTTGAACCACAGCCATGGGTCTGAAGGCAGCAGCACTTCCTTGCCATGGCATCCCAAAACCAGAGGCAGTCAAAATCTTAACTCCAAGTGGATTCTCTCTAAACAGTCTGCCAAAAGCTCTTGCCAATGTAATTTCTTACAGAAGTGTCAATATTTTACATTTGATATTAAATGAGAGCATACTGTATTTCAGAGTGTTAGCAAGCAAGTTGCTTTCCTCTTTTATCAAATTAAGTGTGCAGCATGTAATCACAGATGTCATAAACTCCCCCTTGCAAAGCAGATTGCCTAGCAATTTCATGTAGTAGTAACAGACAGCTTCAGAGCTACACAAAGTCTTTGTCTCATTCCTTCACATTTGACTTTGCAAGGTATTCTGGTTTAAACAGGGCAAGTACACAACAAACACTGCAATGCAGTGGGTATGACATTTGTCAGATTTAACATCCTGGCTGCAACTGCTCAGAAACCTTACAGTACAAGACAGACAGGCTTTATCTGCATTGCAGGGAAATGAAGCTGAAGAAGCAAGCAGCTCTGTTCACTGAGGGCAATACGGGTGCGAAAATTCCACCGTGGAGAACAAAATTTTACACATCCACTTTGTAATTGCTCAAAGAATTTCTGCTGTCTCTCAGTTTAGCAGTGACCAAGATAGAAACCGAACCAACAGAGAAGTTCAGTGAAACTGACCAAGACAGAAACTGAACCAACAGTGAAGAATAACCAGATTGTTAATATTTGATTAAAAGAAGTTAAGATACTGTATGTGAACTGATTCTCAAAGGAACTGTGACCAGTACACCCTGCTCCCAAGCCCTAGTCAATGCGGGTAGCGTAACTGACATTAGTGTAACTAGTGCCATTTTATGACGGAAGCAGTCATCCTCTGGGGTCAACCACATCATGTATATTTTTGGGCCCTGAAGGTCCTGTGCACGAAGCAGACAAAGGAAACAGATTTCTCCTTCCCCTTCCTACCAGCCTTGGTTCCTGGGCACAAGGCCGATTACTCCTGTCCTTACTGTGCCTGAAGGTCCCAGGCACCCAGACAGCCTGGTGGTGTTGATGACCCTGACACAGAACAAGGATGGTAACAGCACAAGAGCACTGTCTGTAAAATCAAACACAAGTCCTAACGGGGAACATGGACCAGAACTGCTGCTGGACAGGGAGTGAGACTAGGACCTGCCCAGGACACCTCCACTGTGTCTTCTGCTTCCTGCAAAGAATGAAGGAGTGACTCATTCTCTTGTATGATTTGAATCTAGATTATGATTATTATATTGATACAGCAAACCAGGTATTAACATCTGATCTTCAGATGGTCCAGGTGATTAGAAATTGTAAATTAGATTGTGTTATAGATTCTGTATTATGCTACTTAGAAGTACTACATTGATTCTGCTTGGAGAAATCCCGTACCATTCTAATAATAAATTCTGTGCTGTACTAATCATAGTATCTTAAGGAAAAAAAAAAAAAAAAAAAGAAAAAAGCTTTAATTGTAACTATAACTTTGTGCTGTTACCATTCTGCCAAGGATCCCTAAAAAGAACCTCTCTGCCCCCTGAGTGTCAGATGACAGAAGTGGAACTTTATACATTTTCATACAGACAGGATTCGGTCAAGTGAGGAGTTAACCATGTACAATGTTAGCACTACTATTAGCATGTAAATCTGATGAGCACTTTGTAACACTCTCCCCAGTCTCTTCTGGTTTTCCCTGAGGCTGTTACTGGTTCCACTCTGTTGCCTTCTTTGTTCATCAGTCTTGTTCTTTGAATTCCCCACTTGCATTTCTGAGACAGTTACAGAAAGCAGCAACCTCCTGCCAAACCTTCCCAGGGTAAAGCTCCATCTCCCTTTAGCTGCCTGTGGGTTTTCCTTGGTATAAAAAAACCACACACACACAATAGCAAACCCCAAACAACAGTGTCCTACACCTACTCGTGCCACACAGGGAGCTGGTGCCCGCAGCAGGGGGCCAACAGATCAAAGATAGCACCTCTGCTCTCCACCTTTTCCAAGGTCCACACAGCCTCCAGCTGTGGAACCAGAGGCAAATCCTGTCTCATGGCCATGATACAAGGCTTCCCTCGTGACACTTTTTTTAGAGGACCCAGGAGCTGACATCTCAGTGTTACTCCTGCAGAAAGGAATACTGTTACTCAAACACAGGGAGATGGAAATCGGCCTCTGAGTCTTACTCAGCTAAGAAGCAACATAGACAAACTTCTACTTACAGCATTCATCAATTTTGAATTTCCAGAGTTACTTTACTGTGTCCTTGGTCCTATGTTCTTTCAGTAACCTGTAAGCAATCTTAACGCTCACTTATTTAAACCCTGATGATACTACCTAACTTGCAGCCTGAAGAGAGAGCTGTAAACTAAGGCCAGAACTACTGCTACTTTTATACCGCTGTGTTAGAGCTACTTGGAACAAAAACTGTCAGAAGTAGAGCAACCATTAAAGTTTATCCTAATTCCAGGTAGCTTTTCCACCTCAGCAGTTCACAGTCACACCTGTATCTAATCGCTAGCATGAACCAGATGCAATTCCATATCCTCATGAAACTGTAAAGGATAAGGGATAGAAAAGAAGAGAAAGACACTATTTGCTGGGATGAGAGACTTAAGTCTGTTCTGCATTTTTCACTAAGAAGCTGATTGTTAGGGGAGTTCCAGCAGAGTTTTTCCTGAACATTGTAGACCAGACTTTTTTTTCTTTACAACAACAGTAAATCACTGCAGTGCAGACACAGACCGTCACTACAATAATCATCATTAGTATTGTTACAGCAGTTCCGCTTGCATGCATCTCCTGCTGTGCAGCACATAATGCTTTCAGAAAGTACGCTGCTCTGTCTGCCAGTGAATGTACAACTGGGTGAATTAGGAATCCAGTCACTTGGAACTTTAAAGATCAAAGATATTGTGAGGGGTTAATCCTAGGAATGACGTCTGAATAGATCTTTCTGTTGAGGGTGATTTGTCACCAAATTAAGCTAGAAACTCTATAGGCATACATGACTGTAAAGCACGTCAGTCATTCTTCAACAGATGAGCAGTGATGAAGCCAACCATGCACACAAAAATCAGCAGGAAAGGCTGCAGAGCCCAACTGTAAACTGGGCACAGCAACGAGGTGGATTACAGCTGGGGGACTGCACTGTACAACTCACCCTTTTCCTGCAAAAAGAAACCTAAGTGATCTCTGAATAATCTTGACCTGCATTTTGGGGAGTATTGTTTTGATTCATTACAGCAATAAACTGCATATGCTCTGGTTTTTAACACTGAAATCAAATCATGACAAAACCAGCCACATGACACGCTTTTCACAGCCCCAAGCCTTTCTAGCACATCAGCATTTGTATTTCATAAATAGAAAACACAGATTACAGACAGTGTCATTTTCACACAAATTATAGTATATATCACTATATACCACTGGAAAGTATTTCAGGAGGACCTATCATTCAGTCAGTAGCTTGACTCAAACTCTCTGTATTATTGTCAACTAGAGGACAGAAGATGATGTGCTATCTCCAGGCAAATCTGATGTGCCAGCATTTAGCCAGGCTTCTAGCACAAGAGAAAAAGAAATCTGGGCAAGCTCTGGCTAAACCCTATCAATCCCTGTACCCTGCATTTGTAGCCATTAGGTTACGTCTAAATTGTATTATTTTTGCATCACAAAAAACAGCCTGCCTAGCTACTCTGCATCTGTGGTATAATGTCTGTCATGAATATAGGGTAAGATCACAGGCATAACAGCGTTGCCATTGTCTCAAAAAAGGGCTTTTGTTTGGAATCATTATGGTTTTCTGCTCACATAAAATGTGAAGGTTTCAAGGAGATCCAGAGCCTCATACAAAATATACTGGTACCCTTGAAAGCTCAAGACCCCCTTGAAATTCAACATGCAGCCTGCTGACATTGTTTGTCTGTAATGTATACTGTATTTCCTGGTGAAACTAGAGAGCTACTAAGAGAGGACATAATTGAAAAGGCAAACCTAAAAGCAATTCCACATTTTGAAACAAACGATAGCTCTTAATTTTCAAAGTGCACATAATTAAAATAGGGCAATGGTAAAATATGAGGGACGCACAACGTGAGTGGAGAGTCTATAATACAAATGTGAGAGGGTTGACACTAAAGCAGAATGACAATCCAGCCAGCTTACAGCTCCTGACAGAGGTCAGCCTAGACACCAGTGTAATACGGGCACAAGGTCACATCTAAGCAAGCCTGAGTTTTATGTGCTGGTAGAAGATGACTCAGAGAATCCCCAGGCCTGTAGGCTACTCCAGCTTCTACAAACAGTAAAACACATGCAAAAAAAAAAAAAAAAGAACCAAGCAAACAAACAAACAAAATCTTAAATATTATCACCCCCAGGTAGGAATCACTGGAGCATGAAAATGCTGCTGATGTACACAGGGATTGTTTATCCAAATGCTGCCCCAGCATATGCTAAAGGCAAACCCTAGATGGCCATGCTGGTTTCACACTGTTTAGGAACTTCCCAAATCCAGGAAGAACTGCACCATCTTCTGATTCCTAACACTAAGTGGTGCAAAGCACCTAGAAGGGAAATACATGTTTTTTACATTAACTCCTCCCTGCTGCTTTGGAGACCAACTCTCCAAGGGACAAAAACTTGTAACAGGCACATCAAACCGATAAGCCTGCCACTCTGCTGCCACTACTGTTCCATTTTTTCACTTCATCTGATTTTACTTTAGGTATGAATCCCACAAACATACATGATCATATTACCTTTGCAGGATCAGGACCCTTGAGACAGTAGCTGCTTCTTACCATACGCTTATGTAAGAGTCATACCTGGTGGGGGCAGATGACACTCCCAACCATAACGCAACAAGACGGGAGTTGACTAACCTGCACAAGTGAAGCCAAGCAATGTTAGAAAGCAGCGCAAATGCAGAAGTCCTTATACATAGTTGTTCGTAAATATTGTAAACAAGGTTCCCACCTACTCATCTGCTACGTATCACAGCCATGTCACTCACCATAAGTGGCTCTAATGAGGCTACCACTGCTCCTGGTTTTAGTATTGCAGATGCAATAATACTGAAGAGACAAGGAAAAAGTCATCACATGAATTACCAAAACCATTCTGCTGTGACTGCAGATGCCACAGATGTCTGTCAAAGATTGACATCACAGATCTAGCACAGATTTTGGCCCACACAGCCATCTTTACATTATCTTTGTCCTGTACAGTCACAAGTTAAGAGTGCAAGGAAGCCCTTCTGGATTTCAGTTGGGTACTTAAAGATGGCAGCAGCCTTATTACATAGTTATTAGGAACTCATTGCAAAAGAGCAGCCCACAAAATACTACTGCTGAGAGAAGATCTGACCCTCAAGCCATACTCAGTTATCTCTGCAATTGTCTCGTGCAGTTGCTGGGTGTAAGAGGAAAGCATAGCAGGACTAGCCACAGTACCTGGAGCTGTGGCTTAAACCCAGAATTTCTCCTGTTTCAGTAGATACTTTCAGCATCTTCAAATCTTGCTTAACCTTATAGCATCATTTTAAACCCACTGATAACAAGCAGGTACAAACACTTGCCACAAGTTACATGTTGGTTGTGAAGCAGGAGACTGCTCAGATATACATGACTTAAATCTAAGATTCCAGCATAAACCCACCAGACATCTCAGGTGCAACTCCATAAGCTGTACAGGTCTAACCAGAGAAAGACCTTTTTAACTTGGTACCTCCTGAAAACTGGAAGGGTAGGGCACAACCCACATCTACATTTTTCCAGTACTCAAAAAAAAAAAGAAAAAAAATCCAAAACAAAGCACTACACATACTTTACAAATACAGAATAGGGATTTCAAGTGCAGCAGATACTTCAGCCATTATCTGCCAATAGTACATCAAATCCCTGGCGTGTCAGAAAAGTGTTGCAACTGCTGGTTACTTGATATCAAAAGCAAAAGCCCTGTGTTACATATCAAACCGACCTTCAACCATCCCAGTATCTGAATAGCAGCAAGATACTGAGATTTCTGCCTTATCGTCAAATCACAGAATGTTTAGGATTACAAAGGACCTTAAGAGCATCTAATTCCAACCTCCTACTGTGGGCAAGGATGCCTCACACTAGACCATGGTGCCCAAGGCATTGTCCAATCTTGCCTTGAACGCTGTCAGGCCTGAGCACCGCCTTCTGCCTACCTAAGACATAACAGATACATGCTATAAAAATAATCATTAATGCTTTATATGATTACAAGGGTCATCCAGCAATTGCTCCGATTTCCTCAAATTCATTAGTAATGCAAAAGGTTGGGCTGTAGCTCATGTGTAAGAAGTGTTGTTAATCTACACACCACACAGCTTTTTCACTGTCACACAGAACAGCTTTTTCACTGCCAGGATACCTTCACTGCAATGTAAAGGCAAAACCAAAAACCCGACATATTATGGTAAGACAGCCCAGCAACAGTATTAGCCAAGCTGTCTTCCTTCTATTCAGGAACATTATTCTCTAATAATAATCCATGCACAAAGCAGAATATTAACAAGAGCATGGACTTTCATGTTGAGACTTCAAATACTTTACCAAGAAAACTCTCAGCTTAAAGTTGATTAGTATAGACCAAAGTAGTTATTCTCCTGATTCTCCGAGCTTCTAGATGTATCCTACTTTTTAATGTCTTTAAAGTAATCGAATACAATTCAATCAAGCTAATCCTCTCACTCCCTCATGCTATAGACTATTTACCTTAGCGAAGTAAGCTAGGCTCGGCTGCACGGTCAGATCCCTTTCTGTAAACAGGACTTCCTCACAGAGCACAGTACCTGTTACAGGTCAGGATTTTTCAACTATCACATCCAGTGACAAACATTTTCAGCAACTCTCACAAACTGCTGAATGCAACTGAAAGTATAAATCTGAAAAGGAATAAATAACAGCTTAGACAAATCAGGAGCCACATTGCAGGTATTATCTAAGCTCAAGACTTAGTCGAGTACTTGTTAATATTTTAATTTTTAACTCATTATTTTAGCTTTAAAAACCCCTCTTTATATATAACATTACCTTGTCAGTCACTTCAGGTTGTAACCTAGTCATCATCAACACAGACCTCCCTGCAGGCTTTCCTATCTGTGCTGAGTGTTAACTCTCTTGTTTCATAGCTTGTTCAAATCCACTCTCAAAAATGGGATAATTAAGCAGATTCCACACTCCAGCTCTTCAATCACCCCACCCACCTCCCTGGGAAACTTCCCCAACTCATTCACACAACTGTAACATTTACAAACACTCAGTTTCTTCCCAGCTGGTGTTCTGATCACATCTTAATTCTAGCTCTTCCATGACTTCTGACAACAAATACGAGCTATTACCTTCATTTCATATGACCTCTACCTGTACCATAATGTGACATCCAAGTTTTCAGCAGGGATACTTCAGGGAACGTGAAGTGTCCCTATGACATTCCACCTGCAAAACACATTATTAGCACAAAATTTCACAGAAGTGGAAACTACATGAGCTTCCCACACACCCGCAGCAAATCCACGTAAGATACATGAGTACCGATTTGGTATTTGAGGTACTGAGCTGTGAACATTTTAAACCAGCTCAAGTGATCTTCCTTAGTCACGTATATTAAATATGCATTACTACTGTGGAGTTCTCACTGAGACCGTTAAAGACACAAACTCAAGAGACCTTAAAAAAAAACCAACATGCAATAACTCAAGATGGCTTCCAGAACTTTTAACAATGCTACTTTAAAACCATAATATGGTGCTTTTTATTTTTATATGCATGTCCTGAGTTCAGCTGTAACAGTTATTTTTCTCCTTAGTAGCTGGTGCAGTGCTGTGTTTTGTTTCAGTCTGAGAACAGTACTGGTAACACATTGATGTTTTAGTTGTTGCTAAGCAATGCTTACCCTGATCTTACCTGGGACTTTCCAGTCCCTCATGCCCTGGTAGTGAGGTGGGGCAAAGGAAGCTGGGAGGAAGCAGAGACTGGAGACCTGACTCAAATTAACCAAAGGGGTATTCCATACCACAGCACATCATGCTCAGTATATAAACTCGGGGGGAGTCACCAGGAAGGCCCAGATTGCTCCTATGGTTGGGCTGGTCTGGTCACCAGTCAGCAGGTGGTGTGCCACTGTATTGTGCATCACTTGTGTTTACTGGCTTCCCCCCCTCCCCCTTAGTTCTATATTCTCTCCCTTTGTTATTTCCCTTAGCATCAGTAGTGCTGTATTATACTTTAGTTGTTGGACTGTTCTTATCTCAACCCATGGGGCTTACATTCTTTCAGTTCTCCTCCCCATCCTACCAGGATCTGGAGGGAAGAAAGGGAGCAGTGAGTGAGTGGCTGCAGTAGTGCCATGTTACCAGCTGGTCCTAACCCCTGACAATTCACTGGACTATATTATTAAGGTAGCTCCACCATTTTCCAATCAGATTTTGACGGGTTTTTTTATTAGCATACACTAATTTTAAATCACAGCAAAGCCCTCGAAGCATATTAACAAGCAAAATATTTCTAAAGATCTGTTGCAGAAATGATGAATAAAAATCTCAAACCGCTACTCCATTGGAGTCAAGCTGCTCAATGTGACAAGGTCCAGAACATTCCCTTAGCTTTTCAGAAATAAAAAGTTCAAGCAAGCATTTGTTTCAGTGCAGGCATCTGTTTTCTTTTCCCTGTTGTCCAAGATATTTCGAACAGAGATACATAGGCAATTTTCTCAAGACTACAGATATGAATCCATAATGGTGTAATTATCATACGGTTACATAGAAGTTTAATCTAATGAGAAATATCAACACAGCTATTTTAAGTTTCTAGCAGTTAATGACAGACTAGGAAGATCATAATCAAACTCCTTAAGAGAAAATAATCACAGCATTGAGTCTAGGACTGAGCATTTAAGTGTCAGACATGAAGACTACTACAAACTTCCACTTAAAATCTGCTATAATCAAGAACACATTTTGATAATATCTTGATCCTCAAGTCACAGTCTGAGGATACAGAGATATGCCAGTATTTCCTGATTGGGAGCATACTTAGCATGGAGACTTCCACAGACCTGTCACATGACTGCTTACCACTGTATTAGCATTATTTTGCATTTCAAAGACACAGTTTTACCATGGATATTATTTATGCACCAAGTATGTCTGCAAATGGTGAAAAAAGCTAACACTGCCTACATCTCTAAGCAAGATTCCAAATCACTTCATGAGACAGAAACTGGTATGAAACACTTTATAGGCAAGATCTACAGTGGCTTAAAGGAACTATCTTTGAGGACTTACATATTTGAGTCACAGAATGGGCAATACATTTACTGATTCTCAAAAGAAACCCAGCACACCATTTATTGACTCACCATGTCACAGAAGTCGGTAAACAACTCTCTAAAATTCATTTTTTTACCTTTTACAGGGCACTTAGCTTCAAGTCACCATCTTAATTTCAAAACTCACATTTGCAGTTTTCCTTATTGCCAGAAGTCAATGAAAGCACTTTTGTATTTCAACTAATTAAATGCTAAAAGTGTAATTTACTGATAAAGTACCTGCAAACTTAAATTGTTACTCTAAGTCCTTGCACGTGGCTCCAGCCATGTCACACTCACAGATCAGTGTCTTACCTCAAAGTACAGGAAATGCACAGCTCAAACAAGTTCCTCCACTGTTTCACAACAGTAACTACACCATGACAAACATGCTTGGCAAGTCGAAGAGCCCCACCTTTTTCCAGGCACCGGAGAACTTAGTTATGGCTACAGCAAGGTTTTAACCTGAATTTTTCACTTCATATAGGTCAGGATGAATTTCCACTTCCAGAAGTATTTACCCTAGAAACAACCTTGGTGAGTACTCTTCTGCCCTAGCATAGCTTATGTGACAGAAACAATCCAATTTACCATTAACACCGAAGTTTAGCCCTCATCCCTGGAAGCTCCAACTATGCCAAGGTCAGACTAGAACTTAAAAAGGTCTTTCTCATGCCCAGAAACCAAATTCTCTTTTCCTCTGGAACACACAAAAGCAATAGAAAGAACATATTCCTGAAACATCTAAACATAATAATTATTTAATAGATTTATATAGATACAGGCTTGATTACAATAAAATCTATTAAGGCTTTCCTCTTCCTATACTTCCTCCATGTAACTGACCTATTCAGGTAAATAAAGTACCAAGAAGGCATTATTTAATTCATTAAATAGTTACAACCTGCAAGTACCTACTAAACACTTACTCAAGATTTAACATTGGTTCCCTGAAGGTGCCACTGTTCAAGGCCAAAGGTCTCACTCAATTTGCACATTTTGTTATATTAAACCACCAACACTTGTTTCTAGAATACAGACCTATTTGTGAAGTTCAGTAGATAAAGTGATTTACAGCATATGTAACTGACCTGCAAACAGGTCCATCATTCCAAATACATTCAGACCAAAATGCTCCACTATGCACAGGAAAAGTTTTAGAAGCCAGTTTAACAGCAAAAGGAGGATATTCTGCAGAAAAGCAAGACCTTTTCTGACTAATTATGGAAAATTTTTTCCTACTTTTCTGACAAAAAAAAAGCCACACCAGAAAGTTTCTTTGTATTTTTATTGTATGCCAAAATTCAGTAAAGATGATGTTTAGCTTCTATACAAGTAACTCAAAAATTGTGTTTAGACAGTGATTCATTAGCAATCTGACTTATTTCAAAGCATAAGTTTGTTCAATCAGGCCACAAAAATAATATTGTGTACAAGCAGTAACTAAAGAGCTGCAGGTTCAAGGAGTTTTCAAATATCACAGATGTTGAGATATCATCAGGAAATACAATCGAAACAGTCACAATATAAAACAGCAGCTCCATATTGCCTTTCAAGGTTTTAACTTCATTTAGAAAGTGACGCTTAGTTCAGTTTGCCTCGTTCTTTGAAGCTTCATCAAAGTTTTCAACAAGATCTAGGGAAAAGAAGAACACTGAAATTAAAATCTGACATATTTTCACTTTGCCAAATATTTTGGGTTTGTTTTACTTCCCCCATCTGAAGTTCTACTTCATATCAAGTGCTCACAACATAAAGAAGCTTCAGCTTACAAAAATCAGAACAAGCAACTTTTAAGAGCTTTATGATTCTTTCTTCTTCCTCAACCAAGTTTTGCATGGTTCACTATAAAGCACAATTCTAGATTAATTTCACTTCATTATAACCACAACTGAGCAAAGTGATATTGAGAAGGTAATTTCTTCCTACCCTTCTTACTGAATAATCATCTTAGCCACAGCTATTACTTCTATAGAGGACAAAAACGCTAGCTCAAACCAACAAATATCTCATGTTGTCTGAAAACAATGAAATAATCTGCCCACAGAAACTCAGTGACAGCAAGTGACTGGTCAACACTCTTAACATCCTTGCCTCAAGCACTACACATCTCAGGAAAATTCACTTTCTCTTCCTCCACAGCGTGCTTGTTCTTACCTGGAACTTCATCATCGTCTTCTTCACCAGTAGCAAGTGGTGCTTTTCCATCCACAGCTGCAAGAACATGCAATTAATAAGCATCAGTCAAGCTCACCATAGGCATCTTGATTAACTCTGTATTTTTGAAAGCATGACCAAAGAATCTGAGCTGAACTGCAATACTTTATTCAGTTCCCAGACTGAATAAAAATGTTGCACTAATCTAGGAGGTTCATAATCCCTTTGTTACTGATAATGCTTAAATAGCCCAGGAGGGAAATGAGAAGATGCATGCTAAACCAGCTTCCTAGTAATCTTTTACCTAGGTATCCTGAGTGCCTTGCAGTGTAATAATTTTCAGCTACAAGTGATTCTACCGATTTCTATTAGAAGCAGGTTGGTTTATTGATTACTCCAGGTTTACACATTTTACACAATCAAGTTTTAAGAAAAGAAAGGATCCTGTATTTTAGGACTTTAAGGAAAACTCAGATGTAATTGTGAAGGTGCAGGCAGACACACATTAACTAGAGATAAAGATATTACTGTTCCCAGGCAAGCTCAGATGCACAATTTTACACTTATGCGGTTGAGGTAACCATGTGTTCTGGGCCCCATCTCTGCCAACTCAGCTATTTCTTAACTACTCCCATTGTGCTTGCCAGAGCTACTGAGACTTATCCATGCCTACTGTAGCAGACCACTGAGCATCTGTTAAACTGCAGCAGTATAATACTAAGAATAGATATCTCAGGTCCCCAAATGGCTACACCACTACTTTCATTGCTATTCTCAGTTGTACTACCAAGGGTAGCTGTCTTGTACTCTCCATCACCTCAGTTTTACCTTAATTAATCCTTCTCAGTTTTCAAGAAAAGCATGAGGCAACATACAGGTTCATACCAGACCTGTATCCTGATTTCTAAAGAACCAAAAATCAGAAGAATGCATAAACTTTGGTGTGAAAGGGCATGGGACAATGTTGCCGATAGCTCTCCTTTTGTTTTTTTAACAGCAGAAACCTGTTACAGCTTAAGTGCATCTCAGTGTCAAATACCACATTTTAGAAGCAACCCTGCTGTTTCCTTCTACACCATCTGCATTGTCTCTCATCCAATAGCAGACTAAGTTTACTTTAACATCTGCAAATCAATCATTGCAGACACTTCACTTTTCAGTGTCAGCCTTCCAAATCCAGCAGACAATGCTGAATGGAAAGTTTTGGGAGACTACTTTGGCAACCACTCAGACTAGCAAGGAATAGCCATTTACTAGGTCATACGAAGCAAGCACTTAAACAAGCTTCCCTAATACTAAATTGCAAGATTTAGCTTACCCAGAATATAACCCACCTTGTTATGAGAACAGAGATCTTTGCAGATCATTTTAGGTTTTTTCTTTATACATTTCAAGTCCTACTACCACAAGAAAGCCACAGAGATGACATTAGGAAGGAAGGACCTAAGCTCCATGTGGAAAGCAGCAGTTTAGCCCAACTCATGAAAACCACTTCTAGCAGATTTTTTTCAGTGGAAGTTGACAAAAGGGAAGTCTTAAACTTTAGGAATGGAAATACAGGCTGGCAGCAAAATACAGGAAGAAAAAAATGTAGCAATCAAGTTCAGAACTACCAGAAACTAGACACTGTGATACACTATTTTCTGTTTAGGATGTTCAATACCTTAAAAGGAATGGGCTTAAGATATTTCAGAAAGAAGACAGTACATGCAGAACCCAATGAATGTTCCCAGTGCCAACAAGCCTGTTTCACTCCTAATAATCACCCTGTAGCAGCAGCATCCTAAACACTACATACTTAAATCTCTCCTCTACTTTTCCCACACAGTTTTAGGAAGAAAAAGCATGTGTATTTTTACTAAATTAAGAATGAAATAGGAAGTTAGTGTATCTAGTTTAATGCCAGTCCTGTTCTCTACACTACTCTACACACAGAAATTATAATGTATTTCCTTACAAATATTGTGCAATTCCCTCCTAACAATCAGAAGCCCATGCAAGAAATACCTTCACCACGCCTGTGAAGCAGCAAAGCAGTTGCAAGATGTCTGTGCTCAAGTCCCCTTCTCATTACTTATGTTTCTATTCAAAGTGTCAAAACTGACACACTCAAATTATTCTTTCTTAAACCCTAACTCTTCCAGAACAACTCATCTACTTGCTTTTAATGAACAAGGTAGAACTTTAATGAACCACAATATGGTAGATCAAGAAGTAAGCCACCATGAAATAAAGTCTGGCTACAGCCTTCCAGTCCAACACCAGCTGCAAGACACACCAACAGGTGCCCCTGCTGTACTTGGGTTATACTCATCATCGGATTTGAGCTATAAATAAGATGCAAGAGTTCCATTCCTTTGTAAGTATTTTATAATATGCTTACAGACAGCAAGGGTGCACTGAATTTCACTGCTGCTATACAAATAAGCCTCATGTCAGCTGCCAGCATGAAATGCATTCAAGTTTCAACTTACATTGCTTGGGTAGGGCTTCTGCCAATCGCCTCAGGCTGGTCAAACTGTCAGCTCCAAGCTGGTTTAAGATGCTAGGAAGCATTTCTGTTAGCTGCTTTGTCTCAGCATGGCCCGTGATAGTGAAAGTGTTAGCAGCCAGAGATGCCTGAACTTTAGGGTTATTGAAGTGAATGACTGTTCCTTGGTTAGTAAACATGTTTACCTGCAAGAAAAAAAAACACCACAAAACAACACACACACAAAAAAATAGATTTGAAGCAGTTTGGCGAGATATTTTCAATTTAACAGGAAATTGAGTCCATAAATACCTACTGATAATTTACAGAGAAGTTTAAGTTGTTATTTACCTGGAATACTTGTACCGATACATTTTTCTATTCCTGAAAATCATATTTTTTCATTAGAAGCAATTACCTCCTCAATTCCAGAAATATTGTTGACTCCCAGTTTCTTCAATGAAAATTGAAGTTTTTTGTCATCTGCTGCAGCTGTTCTGTGGACAACCTTCTTCTTTCTGCGGGCAGTACCCTTTGCCAAAAAAAAAAAAAAGGGGGGGCAAGCTACAAATTAAAACTTAAATAGCTCTTCACGAACTCTAATCCTCCGGACTGTAAAACTGCTCTGCAGCCATCTACAAATCAGTTTAACATACAAAGTTCTGCTTTTGTGTTACAGTGCATGCAATCATACCCCTCCTACTGCACTACAAGCAGTCTCTCCCTTGCTAGAAGGCAAGCTTTGTATGTCTGTCATAAGAGTGAGATTTTAGGAAGCAATGCACCAGAGAATGTTTATTCCACAGTTCTCATAGGGTTTCTGCTGCACCTTAGGTAAGAAAAATTGCAAGTTTACTCTTGTCTGTTATCATAGCAATAACAATGAAAAATAGGCATGGGTGTAGGCAGTTTCTGAAGTTTATTATTTTTTTATCATCTTTCTTAAGTTGTAGACAAATTCTTGCAGTAGTCAAAGACCATGTAGTTATCAACACATCATTAACAAATTCATATTTTGAGTTCTCATATTCAAATCCAAACAGACCTCCCATCTGACGGACTTACATATTTGAAGAACACTTACCTTCCCAAAATATTTTAAATGTGTTTTAAAAACATACTTCGTAATATTTCAGACCACTCATGTTTAGAAAGTAAAATAAGCAAAGGTTAAGTTCCCCTGTAGACACAAAGCTATAGGTTTCTCCACAGAAATACATGTTGCATATTTGAAAATACCTATACCTAAAAAAAAAAAAAAATCACAAAGCATCGTTTCTATACTCCCTTACACAATCACACAGATTCAGCAAACTAACCTAAGTGAAATTAAGCTCCATTTTGAGATTCTGTAACTACTAATTTATGTCTTCCTGTTCCAGTTGCCCATCTGCTACATACTAGCAACAAAAGAAAGTGTTGCCGTCTGGCCATATGAATAGCTGCAATACTTTTTGAGATAACTTACAGAAGTTAGAAAACTGGCTGGACCTTAACTCCTCTAACATAATCCAGTTACAAACAGTGAGGAATGTTAATGACAAATTTGCATGAAACCAGACCTTAGAAGACTACAGCTCCAAAACTCTGTGATGTATCTAGAAAGCTTGATACTCCCTGCTACTGTCAGATTAACACACACAGCTACTTGAAAAACACTAAAGCAACACAAACGGCTTTTAATACCTCAACTACCCCAGGAACTGAGCCACATAAGGCATACATTAAGACAAATCTGGACAAAAGACCTCTCAAGTAAGTTTCACAAAATTACGTCCTGAACCAAAGGCCACATAGGAACATGTAACTCCCTCCTACCTTTATTAAACAGACATCAAGCCTCAGACAACACGAGTCTAACTTAAACTAACAGCTTTTGCTTTCATCTTCAGATTTAAGCTTCTAAAGACTACAGGTTTTAAAGTAAGCTAATTCTACTCTGATCATGCCAAGACATGCTGTTCACACCTCTCTACCTCTATAATAAAGATGCATGGGTACAGCAGGCCACCAACAGAATAGTAGACTCATCTGCCACTCCTCTAAAAAGATTTGGAAAAAGAGCCATGGCATTACCTGTAGGTATGTTCTACACAGAAACCTCAAACTTCCCACAACAAAGTACTGCAACAGCCCTCCACCTAAATATCATCTTTAGATTATTTGTAAAATCTGCAGGCTTGGAACACCATTACAATCTTCCAGTAAAAGGCAATGTGCAACCTTTTCACACAAGAAGTGACTCCTTCCCCGTGTGAAAACTCCTCCACAGCTATCTCAATGTATATGGTGACAATACCATGAAGAATCCCCTTAACAATTTCCAGTCATAAAACAAACAAACAAACAAAATAAAACAAAACAAAAACGTCAGGCATTCGAAGTATTTCACACACCAATTCTAAAACTGAATGACAGCACCACCAGTATGGTCTACGCTTTGCTAATGCCTCTAGAAGACCTACAATGACAAGGTAGCTGCAAGAAGTGTTATCTGAAAGCATGCTCTTACACAATAAACATTACAAACCTCTGTAGTCAATAAACACACACTGGTAACATGCACACAATCACCAGTGGAACACAGAAATTCTCTACTTAACCAGTAGCCCATACAAATATGCAAAATCACCAGGCCAGTTAATTACTACATTAGCCCCAGTTTACAGCTGCCTACCTCTCCAGCTAAAGGAAAAAAAAAACCAAAACATCAAGACAGTTCCTGGAATTCCCATCAGCAAGACTTCTGTTGAACAGCTTGTATTTTAAGATATTGTGCATACACTTACTCAGGTATAAAAACCCCCACAAATTCCTGCCTTAAAACTGACACTGTAATTAAAATGTTTATACCATACAGCTATATTAAAAATACTTTTCTTATTTTCATATTTTAAGTAGTCACACAGCTACATATATTCAAATGTCATAACAAAAATAAAGAGGCTTTCTGAACATGTGAGTCTACAACCGCAAGAGTATGGAAAGCACAGAATTTCTAACTTTGTCCTAAAAGCAAGAATTAGCCATGGGCACATTAAAGGCTTTTGACAAGAGTCTGGCACATAAAAACTATGCCCAAACTTATTTACTGTAAAACCCACTCATTTCAAACCATACACACCTATACAAGCAAAAGGGAAATATACTGCAATATATTACAGCAAAGCTGAAAAGAAAGGGCTGGAGATTCAGCAAAGGTGAAATACATTGCAATATATTACATTAAAGATAAAAAGGCTGGAGATTCAGTTACTCCACACATCTTCTACAGAACTGACTCCGGAGATCCCTGCAGCAGCAGCACAGCTTCCAGCCAAGGGAAACATACTTGTGCTGCTCCCACCACGGTTTTATGGATTCCTCATGCTAGGCCTCGCATGCGAGCGCAGACACGCGGCCCCAGGGACAGGGTGACAGAACTCGGCTCCTACCTTGCCACCGATGCGCACTTGAGCCTGCAGCTTGGCGAGTTTCTCCTGGTTCATGATTGTTTCTTTCATCTGTGGAAGCAACAACAGCACCCATGACTGGCGGGCCAGTAGGCGCCAGCGGTGGGACCGGCCGCGCGGCAGGGAGGGGGGGGCGCAAAGGGCTCTGCAAATGCCCCTCACCACAAACCTGCGTACCCACCCCCCCAGGCCACAAGTTACGGCACCGTACCACATCACAGCAGCGGAAAGGACCCGCTCCCAGCTCTCCTCAAGCCCAGCCCATAATCACCTCCCCTTTCCCGCACCCACCACCAACCATCAGCCAACCTACAGCCCTCAGTCACCCCCCACCGCCCCCTTTATACCTTCCCAGAGCGGAAGCGGAGGAGCCGGAGAGGGATAAAAGACGAGAACGGCGGGTGAAGCACGCGTTTGACTATTACACGCGGGGCTACCCGTAGCGAGATGGCGGCCGGAAGGAAGGTATTGCGAGACGTACTCCGCATGCGCAGTTGTCCGGGCCGGTAGAGGGCGCCTTCTGCGGCCGAGCTGTCTTGGAGTTGGGGGATTAGGTGGGTCGGTCTTTCTCCTGCCGTGGGGGGCTTCACTCGCTGATGGCGGATGGGCTCAGTGTTGGCTTGTTTGGTTTTTTCCTTCTTGAAAGTGTATACGTTTGTGCTTTCCTTATTGCTTTCATATCACGAACTTCCCCACTGTCTGTCTCTGGCCTAGGGGCTCTACGGGTGGGTTTGGGGGCAGTCCTCTTCCCAGCTGCCCTGCTCGAAGCCAACCCGCTGTGGCTGACTTCTTTAAGGCAGACTGTTTGTCACTACTGCCCACGGGGCAATTCTGATCTCATTTTATTTGCCTTCACCTCAGGTGTTCTTTGCTTTGGCTCTTTATCCTCCGTCGCGTTAGCAGGTTTTCTGCTGGCCGCTGAACACTGGTTCTCTCAGAGCCTTCTTCCTGCAGCAGTGTTTTTCATCACCAAGGTCTTAACTAGCATGCCTGTACTGGCCCTGTGTTATCTGACTTTTGAGAATCCAGTGTAAGCCTTCAAGGCCTAACTTGAGCAGTTGATGCTACATTTGAGTATTTGTAAACCATATTCATCAGGATAGAGGTAATTCACAGTGTACAATTTCAGTCCTCCACAGGTTTACTAATGTATTTGGGTTTCTTCTCTCAGAAGGAGCCTGGTGAGACTAATCTTCTAGTTATTGCGAACTCATATGTGTGGGTTTCCATTCTTAGCATGCAGAGAGCTTAGCGATCTTTGGCTTCTGACCTGTGCTGTGTAGCAAGGTGCAGGAGCAGATTTAGGGGAAAGGAAGCCTGGCATTTCTGTCAGTGCTCATCAAGTGATGCAGGACAAGGGGAAGTCATGTTCTGTGGTTCTGCCCCCTCATCACTGCAACCAAACCCAACTGGCCTCCCAGCAGCAGTATAATACTACCAACCTTGCCATCATCTAATCCTGTATTTTAATGTCTTTTAAACCAATTATTCTCTGGAATATTCTCAATGAACTGCTACCTTTGTTCTTGTTTCTGTAAGACTATGTTAATAATTAATATATCCTTCTCTACTGATTAATGGTAAAGCTCCCATGATAGTAATTTCCAGAGCCACAGCTTTGCCAAGGCAGTGCTTTTCATGTGTGTGTTTGCTCTCATGATATCTTTTCACTACACTGGAGCCAAGTGTTAATTTGTGCAGGAATTTTTGGTTGCTGTTAAAACCAAGACTTTTGTAATTAGTGAGAATGAATGATGGACCAAAAGTTATTCCAGCTGGTGGTGATTAAAGAGGTGCTGCTGAAGAGCGGCCTGTACCTCCCAAGAGAACAACACCATGGCTGAAAATTAGAGGGTGATCAAACAGCTATAAAGGATGACCTGGGGACCTGCAGAAGTTTGGTCCCCCCTATCTGTAAAATTGGAGTAGTAAGTTGGTTTGCTTAGAAAAGAAGGGGGAAGGAAGCCCATATTACTGTATCCGAACTAGTAAACCCAGTATCTAATTTGGAGGGAAAGGAACAAAATGTATTTGGGAGAAGGAGGGATTTGGGGAGGACAGAGTTCAGAGTTTGTTCTGAACTTAAAGTGAAGCTTATAAATTTATTGCAAGATGAAACTGGCAATGTACTTGCAGCAAAAGAGAATAGTGCCAAGATTAAAAAAAAAAAAAAAAAAAACCTAAATGAAACCTGAATAACTGTGGGCTATTGAAAGTAAAAGCAATAAATATTTCCACTTCAGATTTATCAGTCTGCCAACAATATCTAAGGAAGATTTCAGGATTACTAGGCCAAATGATTACTAACATGCAAAATATTTTCGTAGGCTGAAATACTGATGTGAAAAAGAGTTGCAGAAAGATCATTCCAAGGTAGAAGCTGTAGAAAGTGCTGACCCAGTTGTCAGCCTAGGATTAATTGGGCTGTAGGTATGATCTCATATTCCCTTGTGAGATTGTGAAGACAAACTATGTTGAAAAACCACATCACTGAGTTGTATCAGGAATCAACTGAAGCAGTTCAAGAATTGCAGTTTAAAGGACTCTGTAAGATTTGGTTACATTTCCTGGATCAAACAACAGATTTTCAAAAAAACAAACTTTGCATCAGAGAAAAAGTATTTTAGAATGCTAACGTAGTATTGGCTTGTTTTCTTTGTCCCTTTTTCTGTAATTGCATAATGGGAAGCATAAGCATAAACCTAAACCTGGATTCTGTGTAGCTGAAGAACTTCTCTAAGGAAATGAAACAGATCCAAAGCCTGTAGCACTGAAATGAAGCCTGTGCTCAGTAAGCATCTTTTTAGTTATGAAAAAGGTTTAAAGTTAAGCTCTCAAAATGATCAAAGAATATACATTGCTAAAGCAAAGTTTGTTAGCTGCACGGAAGCAGCATAAGAGTGGAAAGAGACCATTAAGTTGGTTACTCACAAAAATTGTCTCCTGAATTACGTGGAAGTTTAAAGGCAGGAGAATGACAGCATTTGCTGTCTAAATGCCAGTGGACAAGGTCTTCTGAAAGACATGGCTAGTGTATAAGCAATAGCAGAGTACATTGAGAAAAGGTGTTGTTAGTGTCCTTTTCAGGAAACAGATCACAGGTCATACATAAGTGATTAGGCAAAAGTGAAGTAGTATTTGTCCAGATTGCCAATGACTACAAACAGCACAATGTATTTTCAGACAGTGAAGGAAATGTGATATTTAAAATCTCATAAAAAAATATTTGTTCAAAAGAATGCTGTGTTCAGCACCAGGACATAAGCGGAAAAGTGCTTATTTGGAAAAATACACATATATGTTGGTAATCTAGGGGAGGAAAGCGGTAGCATCATGGGGTACAAAAGCAAAAGTGGTGAGATATACAAACGGAAACCATCTTAGAAAATCTAAACATAGGACTCACTGAATAATTCAGAACTTTTTAAGAAATACTAAATGTATCTTAACATTGAATGGAAGCACGGGAAGATTGGTCTTAATTGCAGTGCTGTTTTTACCTCATATAATGTAGTGTTGTACCCTGTGCTAGTGAGTTGTATGGAGTTATCCATAATAGGCTTCAGTGTCAGGGAAGAGAGCACTCCTCAGCAGTGTCCTTTTCTCACCATGCCTGTAAGTCTTAAACTCAGCAACCCAAAATACCTGGGCTTCAAGCCACTTTCCAAGCTTTTCATGAGTGGTGGGTTGCCTGTATTTATGACACCCCACAGAGGCCGACTAGCGAATAGTCCTGTAAGTGCTACATGAAGAATATCCTGCCTTCACTGAATATGGTTCAAATAGGCTTTGCCAAATACTTGGGAATTCATGTTAATTGTACTGGTAAAGCCTCACCAAGGAAGGCTTTAATGTTAGTCTTTGTTAAAAATTAAAATATCTCTAGAGAACAGGTAAAAGTCAGAAGTCACAATATTCCTCACTGGCTGTGGAAGATGGTACCTCAAATTTATGCAGACGTCAGGCTCAAACCACTTTATTCCTGTAGACATCCTATGCACAGAATTCAAGAGGACTTTATCATTTAAGCCACGATTGCAGAAATATTTTTAACCCTGATTAGTTAGATGTGTAGCTGTCAATGCACCACCTTGCCCAATATCTTGGCAGTTGTGAAGGTGCGATTTATTCTGTTTTGCCTTTGGCTTTGTAGGTTGCCTTTGGCCCAGGTTAGTGTTCAGCAGGAGGCAAGTGCAATGGTCCAGGGATGGGGAGGCTGAACAGGGCAAGGGCTTTCCTCCTGCAGCAACTAGCTGTTATTTCTGCTCAAGCCTGGCAGGATCCCACCGCCTGCCTAGTTTCAGATGGAAAAATCAATCTTCTCTTATCTTCAATCACAGTATAGCCTGTCCCTAATGATTTCTAAGTAAACAAAGAGCATACCTGCCAATATTACTTGCATCACTACAGAATTAAATGAAAAATATGCCAAATGTCTGAGACATGAATTACAGGATCTCCCTCCTTATTTGCCAGAGCTTGTCTACAACAAAGAATTCAGGGCTTATTCAGAGGATGTTAGAAAGTTTTCCAATAGTCAGCGGAATCATGAAATCAAATGTAACCTATGCAAACATGATTTGTCCTTATGATGAATGCCATGCTGTACCAGGTGTGATGGCCAGTGCTCTATTTTGAAAATCGGATATCCCTCCACTCGTGCTAGACACTAGCTTAAAAGAGTAGAAATAAGTTTAAATAAAAACTATTAAAGTAAATTTAGGGATTGGGTGCAGAGCAGAACTGCTTGTACCAATTGCCAGAGTGCTTTGATCCTATGCATGCACAACACCAATAGAATGTGGGGTGTTCTGTATCAGTATGTAGGAATTTTGTGTATAGTGCATAATTAAAATTTATAATGGATGACAATATGCCCAAGCAATTAAAAAACAAACAAACAAACAAAAACCACAAACCCCCAAACAAACACAAAAAAAAAAAACCAACAAACAAAAACTACTTGTGCACCTGTATTTCCCATCTTGTTTCTGTGCTACTGTGGTTTTAGGCCTGTGTTATATTTATATCGTTCACAAGCAGCAGGAAACCACGGACGACTGCCCCCGAGGTCCTAGGGGCCGTTTCGTGAGTTGAGTGTGTATGGCCCAAGAAGGGCGACAGAGCCCCGGTGCGATGGCGCCCGGAAAAGTTACACCATTTTCGTGGAAGGGAGTTTCTCATGTTCCCCCCAGAACGCTGCTTTTCCTTACGGTCTCGGGGTCTCGCTCAGCCCCGGGCGGGGTATCCTGCCCTGCCCTTACCGGGAGCTGGTCTGGGCAGCGAGTCACGCTGGGCACCCTGCTCTGGCACACGGCGTCCCGGAGCCGGCCGACCCGATGTGTGCCTGTGCTCCCTACCGGTAGGTGGCATCCACCGTCCGCGCAGAGCACCGCCAGGAGCGGACCACAGCGGAGAGGAGCGGAGCTGCCGCGGGACAGAGACCGGGGCGAAACGCCGC